TGTCCGATTTTTTGTTACTAAAGTTTTGTACTAGAAGCTTGCCCAAAAGTGACAAGAGAAGTTCAGCGGCAGGCCATTCGGGTTTATTTACCGTTGCAAGAAGATCCTGCACAAAGTTTTCAAATAACGGTCTATAATCAATTTCCTCACTTTTGCTGCCAGTTTTTTCAAGGAACACAGATAAGAAACTATATGCTGTGGTCATGGCAGTTTCATAACGAGTACAAACTAACACATCTCTGTCCATGTTTAAATCTTTCTTTTCCTCCACAACTTTGGCGTCTTTAGAATCTTTGGAATTTTGACTATCACCTTCACTAGCACTTTTACAACCAGCAACCTGTGCCAGCTGCTCCGGAAGTTCAACAACACACTGTATTAACTGTAACACTAAGGCGGTTAACATTTGAATATTTTCATCAGAGTTTAATCTGTAAGTTCTCAAACTCCTCTTACTATTAGGTAAACGAGCTATTGAGGCCAGAATATCGTCCAGTAATAATCTACGGTGTTTGTTGTACTTGGAGAACACCTGAAATTAAATTTACCAAAAAATTTAATTAGTACAAAAAATACTAATACCCTCATATCACACTTTACAGTCCTTTAAGTTAAATTTATTACCAACCAATCAAATACAAATGGGGGCAGTGCTATAAATTGAATGCTTTTATTATATATGATGTGTAACTGATCTCGACAATTGACACACAACTGAAAGGCTGAAAATAAGTGATTAAATTTGTGTAAAAATAAGCTACTGTTATACTACTGTAGGTGAAAGCAATGATTCACAGTTAACTAGTAAAACAAGATACATCACATCTTTAGTGAATAAATCAAACCAGTTCAAGGAGATTGTGATGGTTTAGTAGGAAGTGATTGTTATACACCTCTACCCTATCACTAATGTTGGTCATCATTGTTAAATATTTTTCCCTGTTCCAGAATTAAAATTTCTAAATCTTGTAATTACCTACAATGAATATTGTACTCTTCTTATTATACAACAAGACTTGATACAGAATCTTCATCAATACACCATCAACAAGGATAGAGATCCCTCTCTAGAAAACCTTTCACGATTTTATTCAACAACAAAAACTCACTGTCAATGATGAATAGCAATAAGTGGCTCATAACTATAGCTAAAACTGGCACAAATGTGTCTGATACTTCTTTTTCAATACCTAAATACACCTAATGAAGTACTGTACACTCAGTTTATGACTTGACAAACAGATTATACATACCTTAGTAACCAGCCTGAGGGCAGAGAGCTGCAATTCAGACACATTCTCAACAAAGAACGGTCCAACACCAAGGGTGGACAGTTGCAATACTGTGGTGTCCGTGAGGGTTTGTATACTAAGAAGGTCAGCCAGTAAGCCCACAACCTCATGAAGTTTGTTGTAAAGGCCTAGAATACTACGATTCCGGACATCTTTACATTGGGCACGTTTTCTTTTCATGTTTCCAACATATCCATCTGGTGGGAAAACAAACAAACCAAAAAAAAAACAAATATATAGGTATACATATTACATATATGTACATGCGTGTCGTAGGAAATGAATAAGGTGAAAACCGGAAGTGAAAAAACTGGAAGAGTGCATAATGCAGGGAAGGATGGTATGAAGGCCTCTCATGTCAAGTCATCTTACCTGTTGATTCACACAACTCAACATCAACTATCTAGCACACATTCATCATAAAAACCACGGAACACCCAAGTTCTTCAGTCTTTCAAGCACGTCATCCCAGCCTTCAAACTTCTATCTGGCCTTTATCTTGCCCTGGTTCCATCCACTTCTGAATTATACACTCTTTACTTACCTTTCATTATCTTAATATAACTACAGAGCAAAGCCTGATCAGCTCTCTGTCTGTTGTCACTTCTTGCACTTCTATAACCTCCACTTCTGTAGTCTCTTCTTATATATGCAGTAGTTATTCACCCAACATAATGCTCCCAACCATGTTATAATTACCATGTCTAATCTGACCCTTCCTCTTCCATCCAGAGGCCATAATCCACCCCTAAATAATGATTATCAGCTCAACAGTTCCCACGTGAATCCCCCCTTTGCTTTCTCTGATAAATTTCACTCTCCATACATTTCACATTGTAGTTATTGCTTTCATTCCATTTACTTTTCAAATGCTAAAGTCACAATTCACTAATCCACTCCCAAATACCTGAAGCACCTCACTTCCTCCATTCCATCTCCATTCAAATTAACATTCATTTCTCTGCCTCGTTTCTCTACTTTCACCAATTTATTAATTTTCTTTGTAGGCACCTTTAACTTTCTCCAATGACTCACTTTTCCATACTCATTTACAACTTCTTTTTCTGAATGGTATATAAGTGCAGTACCATCTGTAAGCAGTACGGTAGTTAACTTACCTCGAGTTTGCATTCCATATCATCATTTACCAAACTTACACCCCTTTCCATCACTCTTGGTTTTACCTCTCTTTCTACTCTAACCATGAAAATACTTGGCTATTATGGTGATTAGCTTCCCAGGAAACTAGTTTTCTTCTTCCAAAAATCAACTATCAAAACACACTTCATTCCCAAAGTAAAACCCAGCACACCGTTACAAAATTTCCAACTCGCCCCCACGCATTTTCAATTCTTTCCACGTCAACTTTCTAACTACCTGTACTGCTCTTTCCAAATCCATATACAGTATGTCCAACAAATCATTTCAATATCATAACCATTATTACATTATTACCAAGGGCCTTTCATCCCAGTGACAGCATAACACAATAATAATGGTAATAAATTTTGCTCGCATCTGAAATGCTTTAACATTTTCCTTCACATTTCCTACTGACCATTATATAAATTATCCCATTTTACTGTTTTGTTTCCTGGGTATAATTATCAACTAAAATTGTACAATAATGTGATCCTGGAAATTAATAAGTACTGTATTATAATAAGTTACTCGCTTCAAAAAGCTCACCCACATTATTACTTTGCAGCCTTACATTATGACTGGCAAAAATATCTCCTCTTACATACAAATAATGCTTTTGTTCTTAATGGTAGGCAAGGATTTAAACTTTATTTACACTCTTCAAAACATACTCATCAAAAAACTAACCTTTCTTATTGTCCACCCTGTAGACAGGATCAAAAGATGGATATATAGTATTGGAAAGCTGAAATTTGGTAAACTGTACACATCTTTCAATGACATCTTCGAGGTAGACTCTCTTGCTCATGTTTTGAGCAGTCATGATGTACATGGCTGTGAGGGAAGCATCCATCGCTCGCAAGATACGTTCCATCACTAACTCCAGCCACAATTTATCGTCATCATCATCATCCTGATTGGAAATAGAAAGTATAATCTGAGGTTAAAATATATGCAAAGCTTTTCTCTCTTTTTTTTTTCCAGCTTCACGACGGGAATTCAAAATTATCACTTTTTCTTTTATAGTACCTTTCCAGCTTAAAGCAGCAAGGCCTGGTAGCAGGTGCTGGGCTCCAGGCCTTGTGCCAATGATCAATTAAGAGAATTATTAAACTTGAAGTCTCTTCACCAAATAAGTATAGCTTGAATAGACAGTAATAATTGCTGCTAAATATGAACACTACTGAATGACATGCCTCTGACATACACTCACCTTAACTTCCACTACATCAGTTACTATATACATACACACTTTTTAGTCACTCTCACCCAATGTCCACAACCTTTCTATCATACACTACCATTACAAAATTAAGTAAATGGCCTTAGTAATGGATTAAATTCAAAGTGAAGGATTACTCTTCTCTTCAGTGCCTTAACGTACAAACAATGAGAAATAAGAAAACTAAGACAAAGAAAAAATCCTTACACAATTTAATTTTAGCCTCATGTGGAAAAGGGACCAGTAACAAGTTTTATAAATATCTTTTAAATTTTGCCACTAGTCTAAATAAAGGACTCAGCCAATACTGACCACAACTTTGAAGATATGCAGCAACAAGTCTACAACCTAGGTGAGTACCAATAGCTAAATGCCTCAGTGTTACCAGTATCTTCAACCCAACCTAGATGAGTACCAATAGCTAGATGCCTCAGTGTTACCAGTATCTTAAACCTGAGTCTTTTAGTTACCTTCCATACTGTTACATACTTTACTGTTGAAATTTGAATATGAACAGATGAAAATGTCATTATCAAGGCTGTTTAAAAATTGAGAAGAAACAATGTTATTAATAAGCATCTTTACCTCATCTACAACGGGAGTAACTTTAGCTCCATCACGAATATTTTTCTCAAGGATGTTAAGGAGCCTGACAAGTCGCTCTGGGGGAACGATGGCCATGGCGCCTAAACTCTTTAGCTTTGCCGATTCTGAACACAGGTCCGTTAGCTCATACTTAGGAATCAGGTACTCCTGTGGAACATCACCATCTTCCTCTGGGGGTGAAAAGATTATGTTAATTTCTAATTCTTTTACCTTACACTAACTATCACATTTCTTTACTTTAGAACTCTTCTGTTGTATTATTCATTTGTCAAAATCTATTTGACCTCTACATACAATACATCATGGTACACCTGGACATTCCCTACACAGGTACTGTACTGTAATTACAAACACAAACCAGAAATGTAAAAATGTGTTACATGACTTTTGTCATTTCAGCTCACTTTGTGACATGCCTTTTTTTTTATTGTCACTTTTACCAATGAATATGTTAAAATAGACAGAGAACCTCTAAGAGTGGAGGACAGTGGTCGCCTGCCCTCAGATATGTGGACAGTACTACGATTGATTGATTGATGGCAAAAGTAATGATATTGGATGAAGGATGCACTGCTGAAGGTGATCCATACTTATGATAAGTGGCAGGGAGTTCCATGATAGAACACTATCTTTTACAGCAATAAGATTGAAGGAGTAATAATGAATGATGAGCAAAAAAAAAAGAGATTGCTTTTATTTTCAGTCACCCAACACTGAGTAGGAAAAGACTTCAGAAGAAAATAATACAAATACAGTACCAGAAAAATGTTCATGTGCCTAAAAAAAAAAAAAAAAAAAATACACTTACCAATTTCAGCATTGAGGTCCAGATCTTCAGTATTATCAAATATTTTCTCTACAGCTCTATTAAATCTTTGATACACCCCAGTTTCCATTAATTCCTCAGCAGTCAGCTTCTCTGTTTGGGCCACTAACTTCCTTTCTATCCTCTTGTTGGTGTATGACTTCCTGGGGAGTGCTGGTGCTGGTGCCGACCTCTTGTTGCCCTGCCGTGAGAACAAAACAAAATAATTAACTTTTTCTTTTTAATTATCTAATGGCACCAAACACTGGATTTATTTTAAAAAAGTTTCAGTGTTCTTGCAGTGACAGAATTAACTCTTAGCCAAATTTTATCTATTAAAATTGCACATCTTTTCCTTGACTAAGGAAAAAATTTTCAGATAAAAATACCTTTGCATTTTCTCCAGCACTAGGAAAGCTATTTTTTCCACAATGCTTGGGGAAACTCTGTTAGGGTCTCAAGATTAGCAAGGGAAAAGAAAAAGAAAGTTGTTGCCATATTAGGGAAAAAGATTGATCAGTAGGTCAATCAGGAACACTGTGCAATACTGACTAGTGCTGCAAAAACACTGGTTGTCTACAGCAGAATCTCAAAATATTTGTCACAACAAACCAATACAGAACACACTTATATCAACATTTCCTTTACAAAAATACACTTTCAATCTAGCTATTGGCCTAACTGAGGCACCACTCAGTACCACAAAGTTATTATCAACAAATACCTTCTAATACAACTCCTACATTATCAGTGTTAACCATTTTCTCTCACATTATATTAACCCTTCTCGTAGTCTTTTGACGTAGATTACATCTCTTAACGCCCACTTGTTGGCACAACGCCTCCTACTTAGCCCCTATCTCACAATGAGTGCACCCTCCTGTAAACAGAAATACAAAAACAGTGGTAAGGCCCTATGAACTATCAAAATTCCTCCCACTAGCCTCGTGGGCTGGCAGATGCATCTCTAAGAGTGCAATTTGGGTCTGGATCACTCTACCCAATGTTTACTAAAATGTGAAAACCATTCCCAGTACCGACACAACCTGCGTCGAAAGACTGCGAGGGGATGAGACCTCTAACCATGGCCAAGAATACCAGAGCTAATACTGTACCAACCTTCTTGATTTTCTTGATCCCCTTAATCCTACAGTTGCCATCCTAATGTCTTTTTCACTTTTCAAAAATATTATCATTGGTTTCCTGACAACTGTGCACCTATAAATACATCTTGCAGCTTGCATGACATCATCTCTTCCCATAAAACAGAAACTTAAAATTCTAGTTTCTCCCTTAAGAACTTCTTGGGTTAAACTAAATGCCACTTTTCGATTACAATAAATATACAGTACAGTATCTATAATACAGTAATATAGACGAATATACCTGCAAACTGTCCCCTTTGGTCACTCACTCACTCACCCTAAACTATCTTCCACACAGCACAGGTTGGCTGGAATCAAGAGCAACATACTCTCCCTCAGTCACTGTCATGTGTTACTAGATGTGCTCTGCTTTGGTGCAACTCCCCCATAACAAGGTCCTAAGGTATCCATCTGATTTACTCGTACACAACTCCAACGTTACATAGCTGCAACTACACATCGCACGACACAAAGCTGATTAATACACAAGTGAACTTACCCGTCCTGACCCTTCACAGTCAGAATCTTCATCCCGCTCATCCTCTTCATCATCCTGATATCCTCCTTTTCTTCTTCGCTTTGTTTCCTGCTCAGGGTCATAATCATCCTCATCAGACTGTATTCTATTTCTCTTTCGGTCAGCTTTGTCTGTAAAAACAAATTAATTAGCCAGTCGGTTGAAACTGAGGAAGCTATGAGAGAAGTTAAATATAGAAAAGATATGTAATATGGGCAACTGCACTACTGCCATGAAGGTACAGTAGAGTAAAATAATCAGAAAAGGTTAACAACATTTCTCAAAAAGAAACTGCCACTTACCTTTCTTCTTTTTCTCTTCTCGTTCCTTTTCACGATTCTTAAAATATTTATTAGGCTTTTTCTTGTCCTCATCTTCTGATTCAGAATCCGAGCTGACCTCTTTGTACTTGCTTGCTTCCCGTGCTCCCCTAGACCTTCTTGAGCTGCCACTGAAACATATAGGGTATATATTATTATTGATCAAATAGTACTTACAAATATCAAAAAGATAACTTGTGTAATCTTAGAAGCTTCTACAGCCTTACAGACAAAACACTTATCCTTTCTATAAAGCTTATTTTAGATTGCTTGCACAATTTTCACACAAATATCAACTGTTCCCCTCCTACTCTTTAAAACACTTACAGTTGGTGCTACAATGCAGTGACCAGAATTAAGAGCATATACAGACTCTCCATTAACGCTTATTACTGTAAATAAATATGTTTCACTGTGGTGTTCCCTTCCCACAACAACACACCATGATACTCTACCTAGTTAACACTTAATAATTTCCAAAATCTATCATCTACCATCAGCAGCACCTCACCCACATAAAAAAAAGGGACAAGGCTGCACTTTATTATCTTTCCTTTACATCTAAACACTAAACTTTGATACTAGACCACACATTAAAGTAACAGTGGTGATTTATAAGACAGGTATTGTGTCATGATGAAAAATGTGTAGGCAGGAGATGATGTCATGGATCTAAATACAGAAAATAAATGTTTGCCTGAAAACCTAAATTTAATAATTTTCTGTGATAACAAATTTATATTTACATTCAGCATTTATATTATTTTCTCACAAAAAATTTACATGCACAGTAATGTATAAACAAGTACACCTCACAGCAGCACAACCTAACATTCATATGGGAAAAAAATGGTTAATCTTCTCTTAACACAAAATAAATCCACAATTATATCAAGGTTGTCTACCATACAGAAACACTACAGGAAGGCTAAACTATATCAAGATCCTTTACTCACCTGTTTTTGGAGGGTATATCAGCATTTTTCTCTGTTTTAGCATTACTTCCAACTCCTGAAAGCTTGGGGATACGGGCCATAGATTTAAGCTCCTGGAAAAAAATATAGTATTATGGTACATCTATGACACTCCTGGTTAAAAATGCAGAAAATATAAATAAAATCTAAAGAATAATTAGAAAATTTAATTTGATTCTGGATAACTCTGTCAACTTCACTCTACGGTTCTGTGCTGCAGTTGTAGGTCACATGGGCCCCAGTCCTAATAGGCCTCTGGGATTTTCAGGCATGAACCAAGAACTTTATTTACTAGAAGAAATTATTCTGTCCTTAGGTTTTTTTAAATAATTCCTTCACCAACATTCAAACCTAAACGTGGCACTAACCATCTTCATGGCAACATATATTTCTAAGTAATGATCCAAAACTAAAAATTCTATATCAGTACATGTCACACACACACACTAAATAAAATGACTGACTTTTCTACTCATTGCGTCATATGTCAACCCCTTACCCTCAGCATGTACTTTATAATACAAACACATACTGTAGTACAATATAACTCCCTATTGTTAACACTGTGCTCAGTCTCTCCACTCCATGATTAATATGAAACTACTGATACCAATAAGCTGTTAAATAGAAGAACAGCTGTACATAAAACTGACCTCCGAGGAGAGCTTATTGAGGACCACCACTGGCTCTTTCATAGTTTTGGACACTGCGTTGACATTGTCCTTGGACTCTGCAAATAAAAATATATCCATCAATATTTATAGAAACAAAAGACTTAAACCCTTATCTTCCTCTTCGATCTGGCTAGAGGATGTTGCTAAGCTGTTATGTAAGTATTTATGGATGGTTGTGTTTGAAGAGGTTGGTGGGATATTGTTGGGTGAGGTGAAGTAATTTTGTGCTGTAATGCATTTAATGATTCAACATGATATCGCAACAATGAGCGAGATGTTGTGCCGCCGGTGTCAAGGTGGTTTTGCATGAAGAAAACTGTGGTTGCATCTTTTTTTTTGTAATGAATGCTTTATTTTGGATCTTTTTTTAGTTCTGTTGTTTGTGGTGTTTTTGTCCAAAATTAGTATTTGGGTGTTCTGAGTATGCCAAGTATAACATGCCTTAACTACCTATAAAATACACGTTCCCCCTTTAAGACACAGAGGTTTGATCTTGGTTTTAAAATTCCTGTCAAACATAATTGTTCCACAACTAGTCAGGCCAATGGCCTGTAAAACATTACACTGTGCCTAGTGTCATTGGCTCTGACTCTGCCTACAATATTATATGACCATTCACAATGCAGAAATGAGACCTATTAGACTTGGAAAAGCCATAGTGATTGGATAGTAATAAATGTGAATTACGGGTGAGCTTTCTCTGAAAAATTTAGTCAGCTGAAGAAGGTTTTTGTATAGGCCAAGGACAAAATCTTTAGCTGTGAGTACCGTGAGGGGGCAATGATGTAAGTCGATAAGGACAATCATTTCATAAGTACTGTACTGTAGGCATTAACCCTGGTAATCATTAGAGTGTAAGAGTGAGGATAACAGAATAACATATACGTACTGCAATCATATTTTGTGTATTGAGTCTTAATAAAATAGGAATAAGTTAATTTGTCCTTTTTAACTTCCTTTACCCTATATATAATGCAGCACTAACTAACAGGAGTTCCTCATAACTGATACAGGTGATGATAGAATTAAGTTAAGCAGGTAATAATTAATCATACAACACATATACTCTTGTAAAAAAAATTAAACATAAAACATAAAATTATTCTTGTTGCATGTTATTTTGGTGTTGAGGAAATTTGTGTGTTGTGAAAGGGCAATGTGTGTAAAGTGGGATGGCAAGGAATTGCTTTAAATGTATTGTAACAATATGTGTGGGTGAACCTAAGATTCAACTCAACCTGAATTAATGAGTGTCGGTAAATTTTAAGTTCTTTTTCTCGTATTATTGAAGTGTTCACAATGGATGCTCACTATGTGGAGGCACCAATACCTTATGTGAGAAGAAGTGAACAGAAATGTGCTACATTAACACCTGTGTACTCCAGGCACAAGTGCAAATACTCCTTATCTCTCTCCCCAACCTCGCTCCAAGAGGAGTGTTGGGCCCTGGTATCAGCATAGTTACCTCACTCCCAAAGAAAGTTCAGGTTGTACGGGGATAAGGAAGGAAAGGATGAACATGGGATTACAGAGATGAACAGAAGGCAAGAAAAAAGACAGAACATGATGAGAGAGCAGACTCAGGGGCTATGGGACAAAGGGATGTTAATATACCAAAGACGTATACAAGAATTTGTAACAAGAAAGGATAACCTGATGGAAAGACTGTACTGCCCCAAACTGTGCAATTGCTATATTGTACAGTATTAATATACACTGTAGACTCACAGATTAAGAATGCTATATAATTCTTTTTTTTTTTACCAAAAAACCCAACCTGATTACAACAAACCATACTTAAAAGACCAAGATTCCCAGCTTCCCAACTTTGTTAGTTTCTGCTAAAAGGTTTGGTTACTTAATCTTAAAATACTTCCGTATAAAGTTTTTAACATTTAACAATCCCATTAAAAAACTAAAGGTCCAGATTATCTTTAGTAATACAAACACAAAGTGACATTCCTACCTTTCGTTTTGGTGTCTGGGATGTGGTTTTGAGAAACCTTTTCTTTTTCTTTCTCAGAGGCAACATGGGCTAGTTGGCTATCAAATTTGTCCACTGGTTTTCTTGGGGACTTGTCACTCTGCTGCTTCTGTTTATTACCAGACAGGTCTTCCTGCTGCTTCTGTTTATTACCAGACAGGTCTTCCTGCTGCTTCTGTTTATCACCAGACAGGTCTTCCTGCTGCTTCTGTTTATCACCAGACAGGTCTTCCTGCTGCTTCTGTTTATCACCAGACAGGTCTTCCTGATGCTTCTGTTTATCACCAGACAGAACTTCCTGATGCTTCTGTTTATCACCAGACAGGTCTTCCTGATGCTTCTGTTTATCACCAGACAGGTCTTCCTGATGCTTCTGTTTGTCACCAGACAGGTCTTCCTGATGCTTCTGTTTGTCACCAGACAAGTCTTCCTGATGCTTCTGTTTGTCACCAGACAAGTCTTCCTGATGCTTCTGTTTATCACCAGACAGGTCTTCCTGATGCTTCAGACTATCTCCTTGATGTTTTTGATTAACAGAATGGTCTCCCTGTTGTTTATGTTTGCTTAAAGCCTTCTCTATCTGGTGACCTGGCTTGTTCAAAGATTTGTCTTCCTGTTGACTCTCAAGCTGACCACCAGGGACGCTGATGGGTAGAGATTCTGTCAAAGACAGAGCTCCTCCAGGTTCCGACTTGACCTTAACTTGAGTCGCGTTGACAAGAGCAGGACCACATTGAATCACAGACACATTATTTATATGCTTGGGTTTCAGAGGTGAACTAGTATGGTTGAGAGGGCTACCAAGTTTTCCACCTTCTGCTTTTATACTTGCTCCACCCTCACTACCACCTAAAAAGAGAAAAATGGTACATTAGAATTATGAAATGCACATATACTTTTTTTATATCGAAGAACCCCCACCCCCCACACACTCATGTATGTACATACAGTATGCATATCTACTCCTTGCAATGAGTCAAGTCAAACACATCAACAAATGGGAATAACCTAGGGCACTCAATCTACAGTATACTTTATGATGTACAAACACAAAGTACATGTACAATACAGTACTGTACATTATAATATAATCTACAGAGAAAATATTCCAAGGTCTGGTCCTTAACCTGAACATAATAATCTGACTTACTGGAGTTAAGAGACAGAGGAACAGACAAGAGAATCCCATGAGAAGTACAACTACCTTAAGTACAATCAGAGGACAGAGTTACCATCTGAGGTCTTGGGCTTTCAACTTGTAACCAGCAAAAACAAAACAAAAAAACAAAAAAATGATGAAAGAACCCCAACAGGTTTCCTTACAGGATTCCTAAACAAGCAGGTTGTTGTCATGCAGGCTTGTGAGCTACAAGTAGCAACAGCCCAGTTAACTAGGTTTTAGCCCAGGAATCTTGGTTGCAGAACAAGTATCAGGTGTACAAGGAACCCCAACAATGATGCCAGATAATCACCAGGTAAACTTCTATACAGAATTCAAATTTACAAATCTTCCCATCTCCAACACTGACCTTCTCTCTCCCTCCTGTCATCTACCTCTAAACTGTATAGCTACTCTTTTCACCTAACTCCCATTTGGAATTTACTTAATAACTATACCAGCACATCTCCCAAAACCCTGACGCACTCTGACCAACACTTCTTTCACTTTAGCCATACCTCCATACCTCTGTACAGTAATTTATATTCTCTGCATACTGTACTTTGAACCCCACATACTGCTTAAATCATGTTATTCTTGTTACAATATGATTCTTCATCAGTCCACAGTTCAAGCCTACAGTCTAATGCTGGCTAACTTAACCATTGAAACCCACTGTTGCATCTCTTTGATGTGTTTTCTCTCAATGTAGTGTTGAGTCTTCCCCTCCACTATAGTACACAGTCTTTCAATTCGCCAATCATTGTTCCACCACCCCCTTCTGAACATTTCACTTTCTCTATTCTATTCATTATACTTCCATTCAAACTAATAATCATTTCTCCATACCCCTTCTCTGCTTATTTCACTTTTTAGTTCAAATTTGACATTAATTTTCCCCAAGAATACACACTATCAAACTCATCGACCAAATTTGTATCTTTTTTTTTATCACCCGCTGTAGCCTTGTCATTTGCAAACTGGAATTAATCACATCTCTTATCATTATTCACAACAATTACACCCTTCTCCATTATTCTTGTTTTCATCTTTCTTTTTGCTCCCTCTCTGACAGTACTGAGACACTATAACAACTGAGCACATAATTTATAATATGTGTAGTCTTTTATTCACTATGAACCATTTTCTCCTTTTCCAACAAAGACTAACATGTGCTTCCTCATTTCAGTAATTTTCTACCTATAACATTATGTTCTTACACTATTTTTCTACTTACTCCATCACATTTTCTTTTAATCCATAAACTCCATAAAAAGAAGTTCTTACCTTTGTCTAGACACTTTCACTCATGCTCTTCAACACAACACTTGACCCACCCATTCTCTTCCTTTGAGGCCATACTGACATACTCTTATAGAAGTTTTTTTTTCCTACAACTCCCCCAAACACTTTCCTAGGTATACTCAACAGACTTATCCATATTTTCATTTTTTATTAATTCTTATCACCTTTCTCTTTCTATGGGGGAATTCTATACTCATACTCTGCCATTCCTTTATGCAGTACAGTTATTACAGCATTCTTCCCTGCCATGCCATATACTTTTCCATTTCCCATTCTTAACACTATAACAGTTCTTCCGTCCACTCCTGGTGCCTTACCAGTCTTTAGCTACTTACAGCCTGTTTAAAACTCTTCTTAATCATCCTTTTCCCCTTTTCACTCTGACACTCTTAATTCCATTATGTCCCACACAGGATAACTCCATACAGTATTTCTCATATTTTATATTCACCAGTTTATCCTTTTCTCCCTTTTATTTCCTCTATAGAAACTCTCTTTCATTTTAACTATACAGTATTTTATATTGGTTCTCTTCCTTCTTTCACCTTACAGTATTTAGTACCATCTGTAAAAGCTTCTTGTTCCTTCTGTAACTACTGTACCTTTCTCCCCATTTTTAACCTGCTCTTAACCTATTAAAACAGACAACCCTGGAGGAAAGTGAGAAAATTTTCCAAAGCACACTACCTGGCCTGCCAGTAAATACAGCTGGGTTACAGCGCAGTATTCCTTCCAGCAGTGGCGGTGCTGTCTTCACCTCTACACTCAGCTCTGTCCCAGCATACTGCTCTTTCAGTTCTCTGTAAATGTAAATTCTGATAGTTAATTTTAACTCCAGTAATCAATTACAACAAGGTGGTTGTTGACAGGCAACTGTCACTGTCACCTGTGATAATTTTTGTCTTTAAAAGGGTGAAACTGGAAGATACAGTACCATACTCTTACAATATATTAAAAGGGACATACCTTCAAACCCTGGCAAACCACTACCATCAGCAGAATCTGAGAGTTTTGTGCCACATGACCATACCTACCCATTTACTGCCTTCTACATACAGTCACTAAACTTGTACAGTTCTTGCTTAGTGCCTGTGCCTGCCTTTCATTAACAAGCAGAGGAGCAAATACAAATACATATCCTCTTCAAACTACCAAGTGAAAACCAAGAACTTAACTGGACAATAACACTGACAACAAAACTAAAACCAAGAAGATGAGAACAGTTCTCTATTTGAAAATGGACAAGTTAATAAAAAGTTACATTTAAATTAGTGACCCAAAACATACCAGTGTGTTCAAGCTCTTTTGAGAATTATAACACATCAACTTATTAAATCAACAAATGAACCGCTAGGTAGCTACAGGGAAACATCAAGATACTCCTGGATTAAGTCTACATTGATGGTGTTCTTCATCAATTTCTCCTAAATTTGTTTTAGATGAAATCATGCCATGTAGGACTGTATTTGAACACAACTAATCAAAAACTATTGTCAACCAACCCTCTATATCAGCAAGTGATCAAACTTTACTGATGACACTTAATACGTAAACCCTGAATACAGTACCTAAGACAACCTCACTGACTATAATTACCTAACCAAATGTCCAACACAACCCAGAGAAAGGTGGGTCTTCAGCAAGATAAATCTTTCCTGGTGTATCTACTTCCTCACTGTGATAAGGGCAAGTAGAATGTATTGTTTGTTTTTGGTTACAGTATTTGACCAACCCTGGTATTCCTTCTTCCAGCTCTATTTTTTTCTGATAAAACGTGAAACTACAGGACAATGAAATTACAAATGTTCTAATACCTGTACTAAAAAAAATCTCAAGACAACATTTAGATACGTGTACTACAGTGTAAACATTCTGATGTAAAATTTTCATATATGCACTAAAACAACAAAGCTCTGAAGGTTACAATACCTTTATCTACCTACCCATGATTTAACCATGAAACTGGATATGAACAATTTACAGAGAATTCTCCCTTAACCAGACTTTTCATAATTGAAAATCTCCGGTAACCCTGGATTTGAGGGTCATCCAGTGTTTTTTCACAAGTTCCCTTATTTCCAGATACAATATGTACAATACAGTACTCTAAAAAAATCTGGTCCATCAAACAGATAACATAGATTTCCTTGTGTTATGGTCACCCATGGCCCAGGAGTACATGGTCCAACAGTATTTGGCCAGTCTGAGACCCCAAGACATTTTGTGATGAGGCTACTTTCCTCCTCTGCTGTTTCCTAACAGTCTCTCTCCTACTTATAATTATCTAATACTGTACACAGATGCTTCGAATTTTACCCTCTTTTTTTTTTACGTTTCTGTTAGTAATGTAATCACTGAACCCAGCTTAAAAGTGCCAGCTAAGCCTTCAAGGAGAAAAAATGAGAAGTAAAGTACTTGAGGTTAAAATACAAACTAGATATACATTATTGCATTAACTGGTGGTCTAGGAGTGGGTGATACATACTGACAATCTGGCATACATGAAGCTAAACAAAGACCTGTGTGTTTTGGATCACTACAGCCTCTAGTGGTCCTTACAACCTTTTACTTTACTGTACACCCCTTTATCTTCCATTCAACTTTCACTGCATAAGAATATATACTGTACACCAAAGTAGAGTACAGTACAAGGGATTCATCACACTTTGTTCATTTTCTCCTTCATTCACCCTTCAACAATCTTTTTTTTTCCTTCATCATCTTATGTTCTGGTTTATTTCTTACGGAGGAGTAATTACTATCAGGAAAATAGCATCAGTAGCTACAAAATATCCCCAGTCAAGGAAGGTGTTCATCTGGTTAAAATATTGTTCACAAGGAACTGGAATTCACCTATAACCAGACTGGCTACTCACCAAATAATTCAGTATATTTAGCTTGACCAATGAGGCATTTGAATTACATGTATAGCAGAATTCTTATGTATTACACTTCCCTGAAGCTTTAAACAAATGTGGACAAAAATTCCCATCCACAAAACTGAGACAGACAGACAGATAATAAAGTAATAGTCTCATTCCCTTGTATCATATGGAGGGAATTAAAAAAAAAGTGAACACAATAGGAGAGGGTTTCTTTTCCATCCTCACATAGAGACTGATTAAACACTCCTGTGATTTTTACATAAAAGTATTACATATAAAAGTATTTACCTCATGTTTAACTGGCATTTGCTTCAGAGGGCTAATCTCTACCCCTTTTGTTGATATTTGAGGGAATTAACACAGCTGAAAGTGTCAGTATGGTTAGGATTTATGCTGGGTAGTCAGGAGTCAGGTCAGTGCCATTCTCCTGATTCCTAACAATTAGATAGATCCAAGTTCACCAAAAGTTTGCTCCACCTTTGGCAAATACACCAAACAGTGTACTCAGTTTATTACTGTATACACAAGGGTAGTTAGCATACATGGAGACAACCCAATCCTGCACTCCAGCCAAATAATGAACCTGGTACCATTCACTAGCCAAGCAAGCAAGCAATCCATCATTGAGCAAGTCACAGATTTTTGTTAGTACAGGGTTTTTTTAAATCTTATCTAAGGCCTTTACTTCATCATAATTGATAGTTCACAAGACAAGAAAAGGTGAAGTAAACTTGTATGGTTTTGCCAAGTGACCTCCATTTTTTTTAAGCTATAGTTACCCAAAAGATGGAAATACTGTACTACTGTATATATAATTCAAAGGATATATACTTGGGTTTCTGAATAGGAACAAAGAAAAATAACAAAATCTTAAAGACTGAATAAAATATAAACAGGTCAATTGGAAAATACATGAGCTTGCTTCTCTTCAAAAGCCTGTACCTGTAAAACTACTAGTGAGGAGACCGTGAAAACGAAGTCTTGGTCAAATGTGAGAAACACTCTACAAGACTGAAAACAGGTGAGATCAAGGAGTGTTCTAATGTAACAAACTGACTGCAAATTGTCACCTTTATAATGCACAAAATAAATAAGTAAAAGCAAATTACCTTATCTTGTAGTTTTAGTTGGATTTCATTGTTTTCTTATGACTTTCATTATTATGACCTTTGCTTACTGAAGTGAAACACATGCTCTCTTAATTAACAGTGCAGTATTCACATGTTGAATTTTTTTTTAATACAATATTTTTTATAAAACAGAATTTAAGATTTATATGTAGATAAGAGTATTAACTTACATATGATCAGCATGTGTTAATGCGAGAGAGTTAGCAAGTTGTTCCACAAGAGCTGGGTCCTGGCAGGAGAGGAGTCTCTGTGCTTCCTCAGCTACACGGGGGTGAAACAACAGCGACCGGGAATCCCCGTAGCCCACTGAGGACGACGGGAGTGGCAGCTCAGGAAGTACTGCAGAAAAGAACCATAAATGAGCATGTTTCATGCATTGAAAAAGAAACCATACAGAATTTGCACGTACTGTACAGTACTATGTTTTGGCAGTACTGTACAGCATTCAAAATCATCAATCTGAGGTCATACCAGTACAGTACCTTAGAACTTAAGATATACTGTACAGGTACATGTATTGTCAGCTGGCACAAACGGTATGGAAAATTATCAACTTTTGCACGTAGCATAGTTTAAATGTATGGATAAGTCCTATAAAAAAATATCAACAAATGTTCACAACACATTCAGAATACAGCTTACCAAATAGTGCCATCATCCACATCGAATTAACAAACAAATTATTTACAAAATACATTCACAGACTGACAAGTGTGTGATAATTCAAAGAGATATATTGTCATGACTGATAATAAATAGCTTGATATGTATCTGAAGACTTTTAGAGAAAGAAAAGGTATATACAATTACCGATATAAATTATACAGTGCATACATAACTGCCATCATCTTATTTTATTTTATAAATCATAAATAATTGCACACTTAACAGTAAACTTTGTGATATGTACTGCTATCATTCATTTGACCTCAACAGACGTCGCCCATTCACGAGTAAAGCGCGCCAAAACGTTTGTTTTTATCCCTCCCGTTTTCTATGACCAATCAGCTGTTCGCCAAGTTCAATGTCAAGGTCCCTCGCACACGGCGGTGGAGTTGCCAATTATCTTCTCTTTTTTTTTTACATTTTATATTGTCTGTAATAGATCACCCACAAAAATATATTACGCCACGAAATTATTCGTAAAACTATCATAGTTTATCATAAAAGACAACGAGTCGGCATTCAGACGTTGCCAAAACAAAAATATATGAAGGTTGGCAATTTCTAGGGGGAGTACAACGCCTGCGTTACCCAACTTGACATTCTCGTGTTATATAAACTATAACTGTGGTAAACATCAATGCACATAGGCTCTTATACTTAAACCTTTTTCTTGTTCTTTTTTGTGCGTGTAATAATATTAATAATAATTAACGGTTTATTGAAAGAGCATGACAGCCAGAAGGCTGCAAATATAGTTACATAATTGGGTAATGGTTCACTTGATTGACAAATAATATACAAGTAACATAAGTGATACAAACATGATATATAATAACTAAGCAGGGAGGTTATACTACAGGGCATTTTAACATAGTGACAGTGCAAAAACGTAAGATTGGCGGGGAGTGAACACACTGGTTGATTACGAGTTGATGTTTGTTTACAATGGTTGGGACTGGGCTGTTCTTATAGCGATCAGTACGTGCTCGTCTGGGCTGGATGCGGTTGTGGTGTCGAACAAAAATTCGCGGACCAAGGATCTCAGGTGGAAGTAATGAATTGAATTTGATTTGAAACAGTTTATTTAGCCAGAAAAAAACAGATGCAGAGTGGATAATAATAATATTAACATGGCTGAGCCAGTTGAGAACCTGAGCTCTCTTTTAGGCACCTGTGTTGAGGATGGTGCAGAAGCTTCTCACCAAATTTACAGACAAGGTGGTGATGATCAGAGAGAACCGAGAGGGTGTGTGTGTGTGAGAGAGAGAACTAAAATCTATACACAGAGCCTCATCTTGTGAACACCAGAGCGCGCGCACATGAATCATACTCCTCCAGTCTCTGCTGGGCAAGTGTCAATATTATTATAATATTCCTCGTGAAGAGAGAACAATAAGTGGGGCTATTAACGTTATATTATTTTAATAATGGATCATACACTTCATGCACTGACAGGGTTAAGTTGAGCAGGGACTTAATTAAAAGCAAAGCAAAAACCGTAATCATAAATAAATAATCAGCCACATTAATACACTCTCTCTCTCTCTCTCTCTCTCTCTCTCTCTCTCTCTCTCTCTCTCTCTCTCTCATACAAGTTGACCACATCGTTTGCCTCAAATGCACAATGACATCACATTCCAAATCCACGTGAACTGAGCAATGGATTTTTGAAACATGGTTGTTGACAAATTTACGACAATGTTAATATTTCTTAATGACTGAAGACCATAAGCGTATGAGTACTATTATTACTTCCCTTGCTCCTACGTCTCAAACAACTACAACTTTGGTAGAAAAAAGATAACTCATAAACAAGCATCTACTTCTTTTTGCAATGGCTAACACTAAGGAACAAAATACCCTACTTGTACTTAAATCTCCCATGTTATAAGTACATTACCCTGGAGATACACCACACATAATAGCTGCAATGCACAAGTGTATATATTTATATATACACCACTGACGAGGAAGTGACAACACAAGATATGATCTCCGAGATACAGAGGGGTAAGAAATACTCCCAAAACACAAGATAACATCTACGAAACATCGGCAAAAAGCAAGTGTACCAATCAATACACATAAATGATAACGTGACTTGGTGCGACCGACGTCACTAACTGCAGTACGCATCCTACTCCATGACAATCAATACTCTGCATTATTTAACGGTTCAAAGTGGCTTGTAGCCTGTTTACTATTCTCATAACTTCAATCAATAATCAATTATGTTCCATTAACTTGTTACTTAAATATGTTGTTCTCAGACGTGTAAATGCACTCAGCTAGCAACGATGGTGTGTATGTAGTGTAAGCACAATAAAGTTTAGTAAAACAATTAAGTTACACGAACGAAACCTAACAGCTTCTGGTTGTTCCTGACGTTGTTTTGCTAAAAGTGTACGTCAAGCTAAAGGGAACCCCCAGTAATTAATATAACAGTGCAAGACGTATTAAAGGGGTGCTTAGCCAGTAAAAATAATAACAAACATTATCCCTTCGTAATATGTAAAACTATCTGATCGCCTAATATCAAAGGTATTAGTTCCTTCCAAATATGTGTGCATCTAAAAATAAAGACAACGATCAAAAACAGACAGGCTGTGAAAGTTCGATGTCAAAATCCGCGCCAAGTACAGCAAAATTTTCCCGCCAAAACTCCTCGCTGCCCGCCGCGCCATCTGTTGGGAGAAGTGAGAGGCGCGAGTTCAGGGAGTTGCCGCTAGATGCCACCACTTGAATGGAGGACCGTTCCGAGAAACTTACTCACTGCCTATACTATACGAATAAGTTCCGTTCCAGAATACACAATTCTTTTTATTTATATACATGTACTACAATTATCTTAGAGCCAACTAAGAAGCATATTCTGAAAGACACAAATAACTAGTGAGCAAATAAGATGACCCCGGCTAAGGGACAACAAAGAAACGTTTGGATAAACGTTGCGTCTGCTTGAGGTCGCTCGGTCCGCGCACGACACTGGCCCCGAGTAGGAGCTGGAGGCTACTACTAACTACATGACTATGTTTCTCTATTTACTGCACATATCTCTTACATCCCATTTAACTTATGACACTATCAGCCTTGTATGTATCACTCGTTATTAGCAATGTACTCAAGGGATGTGAAGGAGGTTGTAGTCACGACCCACCCAGCTATGTGTACTGCTTCCTTCACCCAACACATGCAAACACTGAAAATAAGCATTTGGAGAAAAAATGCAAGTGAGAAAAGGGAGGTGAAAGAGTGAGTGGAAATGGGGGCGGAGATAGAAAGGGGGGGCAAGGAGGAAAAGTAAATAAGATAAAGAAAAAACGAGTAAAGGAGGAAGGTGGTAAGAAGGGAGGGTCCTACTATAGCGTGCGGTCTCCAAAAATCTTTCGTCTAACCTAACCTAACCTAACCTAACCTAACCTAACCTGACCTGACCTGACCTGACCTGACCTAACCTAACCTGACCTGACCTGACCTGACCTAACTAAAGCTAACAACCTAAATATATTGTAGACTGCACGCTATAGTAGCACCGAGGGAAGAATATAGGTAGGAAGAGAGGTGGAATAGAGGAAACAATAAAGGGAGTAGTAAGACGAGGAATAGAAGCAGTAAGAGGAACATGGGTATTAAGAGGAGGGAAAGAATAAAGGGAGTGATAGAGGGAAGGATAAAGGGAGAGTGAGAGAAGAATAAAGGGAGTGAGAGGGAAGAATAAAGGGAAGAGAGAGGGAAAGGGAAGGATAAGAGGGAGTGAGACAGGGAAGGATAAAGGGAGAGTGAGAGAAGAATAAAGGGAGTGAGAGAGGGAAGGATAAAGGGAGAGTGAGAGAAGAATAAAGGGAGTGAGAAAAAATAAAGGGAGTGATAGAGAAGAATAACAGGTGAGAGAGGGAAGAATAAAGGGAATAAGAGGGGAAAAGAATAAAAAGGTATAAAGATGAGGAATTATATAGGCATTAAGAGAGGAAAGAATAAATGAGAAGAGCAGAAGCAATCGAGGGAATAAGGATTTTTAAACATTCTTTTATGCAATCTTGTTCTAATTTTACCTGTAACAAATTGTCTTTTTCAGTAAATCGAATATTATTGTGGGTTACGTCTGGTGATGAAGATGAAACACTTCATCCTTAATAAACTGAGGATCAGAACCAAGGAAGATTGTGTGTCGGGGAGGGAAGCAAGTCGACAGTGTGTGTGGCAGAGCGAGCCTACGCCGTCTACTCCTCGCCACCACCATCAGCTGGACACCTCGGCGCCCAACGCTCACCAAGTCGCACACTTTCTACAACTTTCATTCATAAAGCCAACTGGGGGAGGAAGGTACACAGCCTGCCTGCCACACGCCTGCTCGTCTCTCAGGTTAATTTTACTTCACGCGTTAACAAACATTCGTCGAGTTAAAAAGACAATTTATCATAATAAGCAACACTAAATCTTCCCACAAGAATCATAGTTTGAGAGCAAAACAACGAGTACATCAGACAATGCCAAATAATAGTAAAGCAAGTGATTGTTTCGAGGAGGAGGAGGGGGAGGTGTGGCAACACTGAGCAACTCAGCGACGTGCCAAACACCGCCACACACTACAAATACCACCCTGGTCACTAAACCCCGTGCTGCACGAGTGAGTTTGATGGCTTGTGACTTTTTCATATCATGCAAATACCAAC